GAACTCTACTGTGGAGTATGTCCAGGGCCAGCACTTCCATTTAGGCGACCTAGGCGGTCACCTAGGGCACCAGCATTTGGGGGGAGGGGTGGCATTTTGCCGCCCTTGGCGGCAATTCGGCGGCGGGGGGTCCTTCCACGCTCCGGGTCTTTGGCAGCAATTCGGCAGCGGGTCCTTCACTCGCTCTGAGACCCGCCACAGAATTGCCGACGACGACCGGGAGTGCGGAAGGACCCCCACCTAGGTCGCCAAAAACCCTGGCGCCGCTCCTTAGTATGTCATCTGGCATACAATACTGCATTGTAATTTTAAAAGGTTTGAAACTATCCAGGCTGCACAATCCTTAAATGTACTAAACTGGCTTATTTGTACTGAGACTATGTCCAGCTGAACTAATATAAACTTTGCAGTACTAATTCTCCTGAACACAAGCAATTTTTTAAAACCAATTAAAAGTAGCCTTTACAAATAGATTGTGTAAGATAGTTCTGGTTAAAAATGAGCTAGACTTGTTTGAGTATTTTTGAAGAATTTCAAGGGTAAGTTCGCTACAGTATGAACACATCTCTTCTACAAAGAAAATGAATGTCTGACTTTATATGTTCTCCCTATTTTGTTTGTTATATGCTGGGTTCAAAACACTTTAGCTAGCATTTTGGGACTAGTTATAAGAAAACTCCCCAATATATCTGCAGGACTTCTAGCAGAAACTGCCATGAGTATTGAAATGGGAGCTCTTAAAGTGCAAAGCAGCAAATATTTTAAGTTGTCTAATAGCTGTCTTATAAAACATTTTTGTTTCTTCATAGGAATCACTTTTCCTTTAATAGTTCCCTCTACAGGAAAACTTTTTCCATGCCCTCCTCAAGAAGAGATTCAGCCCACGCCTTCTCTCTTTGCTGGTTCTAAATCCATAAGAATATTTTCTCTGTTTTTCAAGTAAAAAATGCAATGTAATATAGCTTTTAAGTAATACATGGTAATAAAACATCAAATTCTAGTTTTCTGCCGTAATTACCTGGAAGTGTCTGTGTTTGCAATGAATTGTACAAAGATGAGAGTATATTAAAAGAAACAGTACTGTACACTGCATGAGCTACTGAGAAATCTCGGGGGCATGAACTATTGATTACCTCTCGTAATACAAGAAAAATGCCCATCTGTGTCTCAATAGGAGAGGAAAAAACTTGGAGCAAAATAAATTCTCTCTTAATCCTCCACTATATTGGGTACTTGCCAAAATCTATGATTTTTTGAAAACTACTGCACCACTAATGGCACTACTTTTGTATTAGAACAAAAGAGTCTCTAACTCCTATAGCTAATGTGATACAATGGGAAGTCTAGTCTAGTCTAGTCTAGTTTTCAGTATGGTTGGAATAGAATAAAGTTTATCAGGAAAATGCCTTTTGTCAGAAAGCCTTAAGAGAGTTATGAGCTTAATTTAAATATATATTTGACTTCACAATTACAGAAATCTCAAAACATTAATGTTTGTAAATTTGCATGTTAAGGAAGCCTGACTTGGTGTTTGGCTGAAGTTTTACTATATTTCTACACTCACAATGCTAAATACAATTTGTACAAATTAGTTTGATCATGATGAACATCAGTCTATACTTTTCTAAAGAATGGCTTAGTTTCAGTGTGAGCAATGAAGTAGGAGAAGTTAAAATAGATTAGTGATATATATATATATATATATATAACATCCTTTTGTAGATTTCCTTCCCCCCTTCTTCCCGTTAAGGCCAGAAGAGATCAGTCTGATCTTTCATGCAAAGGAATAAGCCAAACCTTTACAGTGGTAATGAGACAGCAAACACTTCATATGGCTTGAAGGAAAATAGGACACTGGAGATGGAGCTTTTTTATATTATGTGCTAAGATTAAATATCCCACGCATCCCAAAATAATCTATATTGTGTCCCAAGCCAAGATTTGATATTTTTCCTAAAGAAGAGTTACTCCACTGCATCATCTAGCCTTCAAAAACACACAAACGTCTAACTCAGAGTGTACAAGACAACATTATTTTTCCCCTTAAGTAAAATAGTTGTTTTTCTAATGCAGAAACAAAAAAGAGGAGAAAAACACAAAACAGGCTCACAAATGTCAGAGCTTTAATTGTCCATTACTTGCTATTGCATCAGAAACAACTCCAAGACAGTTACAAGCCTTCCCTGTTCCAAAATCCCACCCTCATTTTGTATTTTGAAATAAACTTTAAATAAAATTATCCTTTTTTGCCTTCCTTCCCATCATGTAGTTTCTCACCTTGATTTGTAATTGCAGGCCCTGTTTCTAGCTACTAGTCTATTATATAGAAAAATCCAACCTTTTTCAATTCATCTTCCAAGCTGACTTCTACTTCTTCATGGCTGGCTCTGTGGTAACTAAGTGCTTTGCTTCAAGATCAGAGCAGAATGATCTGCCATACTGGGCACTAGCTTCTGGAAGGAACAATCCTGCATTGGTTCTTGAAAGAAGAGAAGATGAGCCAGCAGATATCTTCCATCTCTCATTCTCTGGAAGTATGACTAACGTAGGTGGATAAGAGTGCAGCCAAAGAGATTCCCTTTTTGTATAGATAATTGGCTAAACTATAAGGAGCTTTTTTCCAGCATCTGAATCATGGCAACTTTGGAGACAAATATTGCTGTGTTAAGTTGGTGCAAATCCACTGCAGCCAATGGAATTACTCCAAATTTACATTTATATAACACACCATTGTTTGCCACTGACCTACCTGAAAAGAAAAATTAATTCCACAGATGCAGGCATATTAAAAAGGGTTAATGTCAAAAGAACAGATACAACAGTGTTCTAAATACAGGGGGTGTGAAACTGAATCTGAAGTCAGGAATACTAACTGCATTTACCCAATATGAAGTATAATTTCAAGGGAAGTGGAACACATATTTGTTTTAAAAGTGCAAGAAAAGCAGGCACAAAAGTAGATCTTATTCCACTAAGTTTAGGAGCTCCTAACGCTGGTAAAAGCACTAGCGCAATTTACTTATATGCACTGCATTAAACTTTACCCCCAAATGGCACATTTCCTTTCCATTAGTCTATGCTGTGAAATAACTGGGGAGCATACACTGCAAGCGATCTCACTGGATTTGTGCAATGAACTGAGCAATTTCTGCTGTCCTATGTAGGAATAATGAGGAGAACAGCTGGATTCCTGCTGACCACTGCAGCAATCTCAAATGCTTCAAAGCTGGTATATACAAAGTCTAGGAGGATTAAATTCATAGGACTTCATAGTTCTCTCTCCCTGTGTCTCCTAAAAAGGAAGAGGCACAAGGTTTGGATAAAGATAACCTCAAACTATTCCACTACAGGGAGAGCAGGAAAAGACATATCTTTATATATATATATATATATAAATCAGAGATCAGATTGATTATATTTCTCAGCTAAGTGTCTACTACTGTTTCTAATGGATGGAAGACAGGACACAAAGATCTGCCAAGTTGCACCCAGCTGGGGAGTGGATTTCTTGTCCGGGTGAGTGGTAAGGGGTTTGCGCAGCACACCTTTAGAGAAGGCTTATAAAAACATCTTCCTCTGAGTGATTGTTTTGTGCAGTATCTTTCCCTAAGGCCTTTATAGTCCCTCAATTTTGAAGTCGCATCCAGGCATTTTGTGGCAGCTTAATTCTGTCCCCTATATACTAGAAGGCAACAGCTCACCTCATTCCCCAAAAGCCAAGGTGAGATTTAATAATAATTAGCTCCCCCTTCAATCCCCCCAAACTCTCATCCAATCTTGGGTGATCAGATCTGTAGCTTGCTCTGTACTACGTGGATCCATTTCGGTTATGTGACGCTCAGCAGGTGAGCCGATGCCAGGAGGAACAGGAAACTATTCTGCTGCTCACTACAACGTTGCGCTCAATTATTCTGCTTTCTCCACCCGTGTAGCTCCCCGGCGCCCGATGGCGAGGGTCCGGCTTTGCACCGCGGTGTCACTACGCTGGCCACAAGGGTTTATCGAGAAAACACCTGCCACAAACATCAGCCCCGGCCAAAACCTAGCGTGACTTGCAAAGCCCAGCCGGCCTTCCTCCTTTCTTCCCTGTTCCCAGCTGACATGAGAGTGGCTGGGAAAGAGGACGGGCGCAGCGTGGCCAGCTGGGGTGGGAGAACCTGGAGCCTCCCGAAGGGACCCGCATGGCCGAAGGAGATCCCGACAAAAACCAGCAGCCGCTCCGGTGCTCACCCCCTGCCCAGCGCAGGGCATACCTGGATTCAGCCTCCGGGCCGGGCCGGAGGGCGTCCTGCGTGGCGGGGGAGTTGCTCAGGACTGCGCTCAGCGAACCTGCTGGTGCCAGGTGAGGGGCTGAAATCCCCGGCGCTCAGATACCTACCAAAGGGCGAGTCCCCACTCTGTGCCCGTCAGAGCGGTTCCCGGTCCCGGCAGGCCCCCGGAGCGCTGCAGAGCCGGATCGCACGCGCGCACCTGGGCAAAGTCTACCTGAGTCAGAGCCGACCCCTGCCGCCCAGTACGCTCCCCCTGCGCCTCAACCCCGCCCATGTTACCCCAAAACCTCCGCGCTAAGGCGCCTTGCCGCACACTCCTCAACCGTCACCCCCGCCCCTACCCGAACCCCAGTTTCCATCTCAACCACGAACCTCTAGTGCATCCTTCATGCCCTGCCCCACACCATCAGCCTAACGAACCCCAACTTCAATTCACCACCCAGAATTCAACCCCTACGCACCCATGTGCCCCCACCCCGCCCCCTCCAGTTACTCCCCCACTTCATTCCCGAGCTACGACCCCAAATATCAATTCCCATTATAGCCACCAACGTGCTCCTAAACCTCTTCCTGCAAGCGAGCCCCCCAGCCTCACTCCCCCAAACCCCAATTCACCTCGCGTGCCCCCAACCTCACTCCCACCAGCCACCCCAAACACCAATACACCCCGCGTGCCAATCTCACTCCCCGTGTACCGCCCTGCCACCCCAAACCAACCCCAATACACCTCGCTTGCCCCCAGCCTCACCGTGTACCT